GGGTTGTTTGAGCTCTCGTTCGGGTTCTCGACTTGTTGTGGATTGAGTCCGTTATCGTGGATTTATTCCACTTTGTACTGGACACAACAAGTGAGATATTTGGATGTTTTTTGGTGTCGGCTCAATTTTGGGAGAAACTTCATCGAGGTGGAGATTTGTAGAATTGGCAACACAGTTGAAAAGTTCAAGAAAACAAGCGTATGAAACTATTTGGAAGCCTGCTGGTCGACCGCGAGACAGCTGCGGTCGACCGGAAACGTGCACAGATCGCAAGGGGATTCTAGAGTTGAAGACGGTCGACCGACAGGGACCCTGTAGAATTTGGGTCTCTGGAATTGGTGACGGTCGACCGCCAAACCCTATAGTCGATTTATGTTTTTGTCAATTCCTGGACGGTCGACCGCAACAAATTTGGCGGTCGACCGCCAGTCGGGTCTGAGTCTGGGTTATGTTTTCTGACCCGTTTTGTTTTGTGTTGATATATAACCTTAATCATGATTATTAGGGTTAAAATTATGGATGACTTTGAGCAACTTTTGAGAGGGAATTTTACATCATTTGAGGGAGAATTTGTGAGAGATTTTGAGAGCTTTATTTGAGGGTTTTTGGTGAGATTGTAAACCCTATTTGTATTCTCTTTATCTCTAATAGTAAAAATTCCTCCCTTCTTGTCCTGTGGACGTAGGCAACTTGCCGAACCACGTAAAATTTGTTTGTCTTGTTGTGGTTTGTGTTTGTTCGTTTGGTTGTGATCTATTTTGTTCTTGTTCGTGCTCTTTCATGTGTGTTTTGAGTTCCGCTGCACACAACACATCAATCCTAATTCTAAAACGTGAAGCTGATGCTCCTGGATCTAAATTCAGTCCATACTGCATAATCAGATGAATATGGATTAGAAATATATATTCATTCTTCCCAAAAAAAAGGTACTATATATTCAAGAACATTAGCCATTATCAAGTTTAAAACTATGTTATAGGAATAGAACTCTAAACATAGGTATTAAAGAGAACATTTATAGAAAATGCTATTTGTTAAAGAAGAAGAACATGCAAGCTTTGGTATCCATATAAAAGCCATCTGAGCCAGAGTAACAATTATAGAACCCCAGGCATACTTATTTATGTTAAACTTTCCAAGATTATACTTTTTTAGTTTGATTGAGAGATGGAGTCAATTATTGCACATCAGACATAAATCGGATCAGGAACGCAATGCACAAAAACAGTATTTCTAACAGAAATAGCAGACCTGTAATCTGCTATTACCCTTGACTCTGTAGCTAAACTTGCTCTCAACTTCTTATGGTATGCTTCAATTATCCAGCATGGTATAAGCAAACTGAAAGCAGCAACAATAAGAGTCCCTTTCCATCAAGAAGAGTGACAATGGCCTGAGTTATCAATAGTAAGATCCTTCAAAATCAGTCGAAGCTCTTATTTCTATAAAAAAAAAACTAATTGCATAGTGGAATATGTCCGAGACATGAAAATAATTACATAGAAAAAGATACCTGAGACCTCACTCAAACCATTCCAAAAGAACTAAAATTAACATCTGTCGTTATGCTGCTAAAAGTGGGTGAACTTTCATGCGGAATTCAATAAAAAAAAGAAAATTCTAAAAAAAAAGGATTTTGAGGAATATGAAAAAGATTAACAGAAGAAGGATAAAAGTAGTTACTGCAAAACAAAGTAACATCAAAATACAAATATTCTAAAATACACTTAGTCAACAGGTTTACTTTTCTAACTTCTCACCATAAACCTACCTAAGAAATGATTTTCCTCTTCCACAACTAAAGTAGAACAGATGGGATGGTGAACAAACAAAAATCACCCTAATTTTGTAACAAGTCACCATATCCCTCCTATCGCAAGAAACATCTCACACATTCCTACTCTATATATAGTACCCAACCCGGAGATCGGCATACAAAACAAGGGAGGAAAAGCTTACAAATCTTCTGCTCTTTACAACATGGCTTCTCACAATGGGATCATCTTAACTTTGCTTCTAACCTTGACAAGTATTGATGCAAGCCTTGCGGCTCGCCATCTCCTAGATACCCCGGCAGCACCAGCTGCACCAAACCAACCTACGATTCCTACAATGCCTATGCCAACATTGCCTCCTTTCCCAACAATCCCTACACTTCCTATGCCAACGTTGCCGCCAGTACCAGCCACCCAGCAGCCTGCTCTACCCACAATCCCCACACTTCCAAAGCCAAGTCTGCCACCGATGCCAACCGCTACGCTCCCTAAGCTTGCACTTCCACCGATGCCAGCAATTCCAACGATCCCCACAATTCCTACGATCCCCACAATTCCTACAGCATTGCCTCCTCTTCCTTCAATTCAGATACCAACTATTCCCTCCATTCCTACAGGCATCCCGACTATCCCTGGAGTTCAAGTACCGCCCATTCCTTTCCTCTCCCCACCTCCAGCAGCCACAACTAGTCCATGAAACGTTGATGTTGGTGTACCGATGGAGTTCATTTAGTTCGGGATATGTGGTTGTGGAGCACTGGAGCTTGTAGGATATGTTCATTCTAGCTAGAGATTGTAATGTTTGATTGCGATGTGAGGTTCTTATGGTTGACTATATATATGCATTATATATGTTGCTTCTTATATGTGTATTTGTAACAGTTCATTGATTGGATTACTAGCTTCTCTATATTTGTATGGTGTCCTGTCCATGATGACTGTTGTACCAAAGTTCCGGTAGCATAGGAGCAGAAAAAATGAAAACCTTTTGAGTTACACGACGTGATTCTAATTTTACTAAGCCATCTGGGGAAAAGCAAAGATGAAGGGACCTCTGAATCATCTTAACTAACTTGACTTTAAAAAAGTTATAACAGCAAAAATAAGAAAAATCTCCAACAGAAGAATCCACTCATGGCATGTCAATGAACAAAGAAAGAGATGATTAACAAAATCATCAATGTTTGCAATTATGATGCATCGCCAATCTAAGCATTTATTTAGAAACATGCGCCCTTTTAGCATTTTCTAGCCACAGATTCACAAGAAATAGTGAACAAAGTTATAGTTACTCCCACATACCTGCTGATGCATCTTTTGCGAACTCCTATCTCTCGCTCCAGAAACCTGAACCCAATCTACCTGAATTGCAGCACTGAATCCAACCACTGTTGATTATCAGGTGAATAAAGATTCAAGTTCTGGGTTTCATTGCATTTGCTTTGTGCACATATAGTTGAAAACAATATGCGGTGATAGGTGGTTATTCAGCTCGTAGGATATGTTCATTCTAGAGATCCTAATGTTTGATTGTTTTGTGAGGTTCTTGTGGTTTGAGTGTATACATTATGTTGCTCCTTATATGTTTAGTAAATTTTTTACTAGTTCGTTTATTGGATTATTGGCTACCTTATTTTGTACAGCATCTGCAATTTTCCATCACGTGAGGTTAAAAAAATGACAAAATACGTTAATTATTGAAAACTTTATTTCCCCACTCGGTAAAGTGGGGGAACACGCTTTGAAGGGCGCAATGCTCATGACGACTTCGTACCCAAGTTTCAGTAGGTAGAGAGATGGTTAATATCTTCACGAGTAGCTCCCCTGAAACAAATTAAGAACCAAGTTCATAAGTAGTAGTAACGTCCACAAACACCTACCAAGAGATCATTTATATATGCCCGAGGCTCCAGCTCCAACTACAGAAGGCTGAACCTAATTTGTCGCAACTGAATTTACCCCTGAAGAAATAGCGAGAGAGAGTGTAGGAAATCAGCAGAAGATATAGCCAGACAGACGACCGCGAGTCAGCGGCGGTCAACTGCGAACATGCACGAAGGCCAGTGGGATTTGGAGCTGAATGCGGTCGACCGTGGTGGTCGACCGCGGGGACTCTGTAGGCGATTATCTCTCGGGAAATCAGTTCGGTCGACCGCCACGATCGACCGCGAGTTTGACTGTAGGATTTTGGTTCTCTGTCGGGGGTGTTCGGTCGACCGCGAGCTTCGTGAGATCGACCGCGAGACCTACGCGATCGACCGCAGACTGATTTGGGCTGGGCTTTGGATTTTGACCCGGTTCGTTTCTGAGTTGATATATAACCCTAAACCTGATTAATTAGGGTTAAGGAAGGACGATTTTAAGCAGTCTTTTGGAGAGGATTGATGTATCCAATTGTGGGAGATTTGTGAGAGATCTAGAGTTTTGTTTTAGGGTTTGATCAGTGAGATTTGTAACTCTATTTGTATTCTCTTGATTTCTAATAGTAAGAACTCCCCCCTCCTTACCCCGTGGACGTAGGCAACTTGCCGAACCACGTTAAACTCGTTGTCTTGCTGTGGTATTGTGTTTGGCTTATTAGTTGTGATTTATCTTTTGGATTGTTCGTGTCGTTCCGAGAAGCTTCCGCCACGCATAACAATTGGTATCAAAGCTTCAGGCTCGTTCGAAGGATTCGGTGAAGATTTCTATCTGAAGAGTTAGATCGACAACATGGGAGATGCAAGCACATCAGGTTCGTCTCTTACGAAGACGATACAGAGTCTGAGCATCAATAACACAAAGATTGATGTTCTGAAGTTCGACGGCAAGATTAATTTCGGATTGTGGAGGTGTCAGATGATGGACGCCTTGGATGCACAGAATTTGGAGGAGACTCTTGAGTTAAAAGAGAAACCCGCTGATATGGAGGATAAGGTTTGGAGGAAGATGAACAATAGAGCTTGTAGTGTTATTAGGTCATGCTTGACGCCGGATCTTATTTATGATGTTATAAATGAGACGTCGGCGAAGAAGATGTGGGAAACACTCAATGAGAAGTATCTTACGAAGAACATTGAGAATCGGCTTCACTTAAAGAAGAGGTTTTACCAGTTCAAGATGAAGAGGGAAGTTTCCATCAGGGAGCATGTCAACAATTTCACGAAGCTACTTTCACATATGGCCAATGTGGACATCATAATTAAGGATGAAGACAAGGCAATGTTACTTTTGTGTTCGTTGCCCGAGGATGATTATGGTACGTTTGTTCTAACTATGATCAATGAAAGAACTACAGTTAGCTATAAGGAGGTGACCTCAGCCTTAGTTAATTATGAGTTGAGGAAGAGTGATGATAAACTCTCCGAGAAGGCATCGGGAGATGCATTAGTTGTTCGAGGTCGTGATCCAAACCGCGCTAGTTCAACCGCTCAAAATCAAAGAATAGGAGTGCCTATAAGAGTGTTGGTAGAAATCAATATCGGTATTATAAAGAAGAAGGACATTGGAAGATTGACTGCCCAAAGTGGAAAGAAAAAGCCGGGAAGAACAAAGGCAAAGCTACACAGGCTTCAGAAGTGAATATTGCAAAAGCTATTGGCGAGCATTCAGATTCAGATTCTTCGGGCTACTCGTGCCCTGCACTACCGTCGGTTTGCTATGCTGATTCTACGGAGTGGATGATAGATTCGGGAGCTACATATCACATATGCCCTAGGAGGGATTGGTTCTCTAGCTTTGAGGAGATAGAAAGAGGGGATGTCGTGCTTATGGGTAATGACCACGTATGCCCTATTGGTGGTATTAGTGCAGTCAGGATTAGAATGCATGATGGTGTAGTGACGGAGTTGAAGGAAGTGAGGTTCGTGCCGCAGTTAACGAAGAACATCATTTCTCTTGGGACTTTGGAGGCAGCAGGATATCAAGTGATCTTAGAGGGATGCTACAGTGAAGGTCACGAAGGGCTCTATGGTGGTGATGCGAGATGTTAGGGAAAACAACCTATACTACTTGAAGGGCAAGACAGTTACAGGGGATCTAACAGCTTCTATCACTACAGAGGAAGACACTATCACTTTATGACACATGAGACTTGGACACACAGGAGATAAGTCCCTATAGTCATTGGCTAAACAGGGGCTATTGAAAGGTGCTAAGACCTGCAAGATGGAGCTGTGTGAGCATTATGTACTTGGGAAGAAGACTAGAGTGAAGTTTGGCACCGCTATTCACAACACCTGAGGTACATTGAATTATATTCACACAGATGTTTGGGGCCCTTCCAAGAACACATCTCTTGGTGGAGCCAACTATTTTATCACTTTCATTGATGACTATTCCATGAGGAATTGGGTATACCCTATGAAGTATAAACATTAGGTCCTGGATATTTTTATGGAGTGGAAAAAGAAAGTGGAGCTGCAGACAGGTAGAAAGGTGAAGACTCTACGTTCAAATAACGGTGGAGAGTACAAGAGTGATCCGTTTCTACGGTTTTGCCGGGATCACGACATTAGAAGACACTTCATAGTTCGAGAGACACCAAAACAGAACGGGATGGCTGAGAGATTGAACCGTACCTTGTTGAAGAAGGTGCGATGTATGATGACGCAGAGTGGATTGCCTAGATCCTTTTGGGCCGAGGCGTTGGTTTATGCGAGCCATCTCGTGAATAGGTTGTCGTGCACTGCGATAAATGGGAAGACTCCTTTGGAGCGTTGGTTTGGTTCGGTGGCTAGTGACTATGAGTCGCTTCGGATATTTGGGTGTCCAGCTTATTACCATGTCAGTGATGGTAAATTAAATCCGAGGGTGAGGAAAGCAGTCTTTGTGGAATTTAGAGATGGAGTTAAAGGCTTTAAGTTATGGGATCCACAGGACAAGAAGATAGTTATTAGCAGAGATATCACATTCGATGAGGCGTACATGATGAGGCCTCGAGTCCCTCAGTAGGTGGAGGGAGACCAGACAGGAGAGATATCGCAGCAGGTGGAGGATGATGTGACTCCACTCACTCCAGAGAGAATTGTATCCATTGAGGCTCCTACAGAGGTGATACTGGGAGGAGATGAGATGATAGTCGGACAGATAGAGGATACAGTGGATTATGGGACTCAGGAACAGGGTCATGTTCAGGAGTCCATTACAGCCGATAGACCAATGAGAGTAATTCGTCGGCCAACTATGTATAATGATGTCATGGTCGCATATGCATTATTAGTGGAGGTCGTTGATGATATGGTTCCATCCACATTCAGGGAGGCAAAGTCTAGCCCCGATTCGATCAGGTGGAGTGAAGCTATGGAGGAGGAGATGCGGTCTCTTCAGAAGAACAATACTTGGACACTTGCACATCTACCTAAGGGTAAGAAAGCTATTGGTTGCAAGTGGGTATATGAGAAGAAGGAGGGATCTTCTATTGGGGACATTCGGTTCAAAGCCAGATTGGTTGCAAAGGGATATGCACAGCTTGAGGGCATTGACTACAATGAGGTATTTTCACCCGTTGTGAAGCATTCATCTATACGGATTTTATTGGCGTTGGTGGCATAGTTGGATTTGGATTTGGTCCAGATGGATGTAAAGACAGCCTTTCTACATGGTGATTTAGATGAGGAAATCTACATAACACAACCCCTGGGATTCAAAACTGCAGGAAAGGAAGATTTGGTTTGCAAGCTGAAGAAATCTCTTTATAGTTTGAAGCAGTCACCAAGACAGTGGTATAAGAGATTCGATGGCTTTATGATTGGCCGAGGGTACACGAGTAGCCCATATAACCCATGTGTTTATATGCACAAGCTACAGGATAGTGAGCACATATATTTGCTTTTATATGTTAACGATATGCTTATTACTTCCAGGAATTCTTCGGCTATTCGAAAGCTGAAAGAGGAGCTGTCATCCGAGTTTGAGATGAAGGATCTTGGAGAGGCAAA